ACCACAGCCGAGGTACCCTCTTTCCAACAAAAAAAAGTATCATCAAAATAGGTTCACAAATGCGGAGTTATCAAAAACATACATACAAAAAAACGTGCAGTCGAAATAAGAACTTCCTCCTTTTTTGAAGTCGATTAAAAATGACAAACACTGACAAAACTAAATTAACACGAAGAAAATCTTTAAACTATTTAGTTTGTGACTTTTACACCTTCTCTGTGACAAAAACACATGCCACGACAGACTTTGCTACCGGTTAAATTTTTTTAACTGCCTCCGTGGCCGAACGGTTACCATATGCCGGTTACCATATACCATACCGGACTGCCACGCAGAGGTCCCAGGTTCGATTCCCGGGCCGGGAGAAATATTTGTATGGCCTAAATTTATTTCTCTCGTGAGTTTGGGTGTACTTTGTGGTTGTCTATGTGTCCATTGCACCCGCAACACAGGGTTTCACTAGTGCTATGTTGAGTGTGTGCGTTATTATTTTGTTGTTCCAGTTAATTTTATAAACGTGGAGGTAATTAGCAAGGTATATTTACCAAGATAATTATCATTGATATCATAAATATCACTTCGAACCCCGGTTCCCAAACTTAGAAATAAATTAGAACTAGAGATGCACGATTTTTTTGCTTTGAATCGATTTTTGTTATCGTAATGGATTGTATGCCTATGAATCAATCCAAGGATCGGATCGTATGCTCTTGAATCGATCTCACAAAAGTCGTTTCAAAATATGTAATAATTAAGCACCTTTATTACATGATGTAATTGCCATAATAATAAATTTTTTTTTGCGATTCACAGATGCCAATGTAAAGATACATCTAACGACACTTTTCAATAAAATGTCATAACTTAATGACCAAAGCCCTCTTTACTTTCCATTTACAGAAACTTATTACTGACAGACCGGGACTCGCCTTAATTTTGAATCGATTTGCTTAATGCTTTGAAACGAATGGATTTTAAAAAATCGCTAAATCGTGTTCAATTTAATCGATCTTCGTAAAAATCGAATCATAATGTGCATCCCTAGTTAGAACGGTTTCGCGACGCGCTATAAACTGCTAATACAAACAAGTCTCGTCAGAACTTTTGCTTGGCTATGGCACTGTATGTTACTCTCTTTACACTGGGAATGACGCTGTGTGTACATAGTAACGTCCTGGTACACATTAATTATATACTTTATGTTGATATATGTCAGATGATGATCCGTTGTTGATTTCGTTTTTTTCTTTTTTAGAGTACAGTTTACCTCATTACTGCTATCCAACATCTTATTATTGCCGATATGACAGCTAAAAAATAGGTCAAACCCAACTCTGATGATATTACTAATAAAATTTATTTTCTTTAAAGAACATTGTTACGAAAGCAGTCTGATATAAACCAACATCCGGGGATGTTGATAATTCGTTTATTTGCGTTAAACATGGTATAATAAAAGTTGTAACAGGAAAAGAATACTAATAAAAATTTTGCAAATTCTCATTTAGCTCACGCCTATAAAAAAATATATGTGAATCTCTAAGAGCGTAACCGTGACAATAAATGTCCCAGACCTTGGCTAGAATCCACAATTAACACTTAGCAGGGTTGTCAACCACTTAAAATATTGTACATTCTTTTAGAGATGCAATTGTGGATATAATATATGTATACGTCCTTACTTTTTCTCCCCTCCTTCCTACATAATGAAATACATTGACGACCTCGATGGCCCAACATTTTGCACCGTGGGCGTTGGATCTGGAAGTCGCGGAGTCGATTCCCGGTAGGATCAATTTGGGAAATATGTGCGCTTTTCTAATTTTTTTGGTTCTGATCTGGATGTTCTGGGTAGTGCCCCAGAGTGAATTCCATTGCTCTGATACTCAGTAGAGGGAATTCCTTCATTTGGAGACCAGGTAATTGGTTTGGTTGTTTGGCACATTTTTATTGTTATTATTAGATAATTGTAATACATAACTAATCTTACGCTACTCGCTGACGTTAGCTAATCGATGGCCGATATTTGTCGGACAAATGTCTTCGGTCAAAAAACAGACAAAATAGGTCACCATTTATCGGTCATATATATAGTATACGTCCGATTAATCCGCCCACTAGTTGTGAAATTAACGAAAAATATGAGTGCTTAGCCAGAGTTGCGCGCGGATCGGAATGCTTCCTTTATGCTCTGGTCACATAGAGGCGGCGGCGGAAGCATCTGTGTGGCACGAGCATTAGGGCTACAAACTGGACGACATGCCAGCGGACGGTAGCGCGGTGGCGACAGCGATGCGAGTGGCGGCTGTACGCGACTTGATTAAAATACCTAAGTTTGCATATCGATGGTGGAAATTTGAAATAGACCAAATATCTCTTAGGACATTTCAGATTTCCATTATCGTAAGGGTAATAATATCGTCGATGTATCGAATTTTGAAATGTCGTAAGCTACATTTTGTAGTAAAGAACATTTTCCAGTACGACAAAATATTTCTTACGACATTTTCGAATTTTCACCGTCGATAGGCTATTCTCGACGGCGCAACGAGTCGAGTGGCGGTAAGTACCTACACGAGTATCGCGCTCCAGTCGAGCGGTGAATGCGCGTTCGAAGTATTTTTACTTACCCACACCCATTGTTCGTTCAATCAAATTTAGAGATGTCGTCGGAGGAAATAATTTCAGTAATAATTTTGTTCATATTTAGAGTGGAATTCCAATTCAGGGTTGATATTTGCAAGAATAATAAACGTTTCATGGTCATTCTAGCGTTACCATAGAACTTATCCTCTTATTATGATTTTGTCTTTGGTCTTTGTAATTTTGGCAAAACTTGCCTTTCTTTTTCTTTGTTCACAGTACGGGTTCACATCCTGCGCCCATAATAACTCGTACTAAATAAAATAATTAGGTACTATAAAAAGGTCACGTCACAGTATCGATATCGCATTCGTTCACACACTCTCGTTACGTCACTTTACCACCATCGCACCGCCGCCGACGTTGCCAGTATCGCTGTCGCCATCGCATTCCGCCTGCTCTCTGCTGTCGTCCAGTTTCTGGCCTAAATGCGGCGCGAAATTCAATGACGTTTGGCCGCTATTACTGTTGAAACGGTTTCCGATTAAACTTTAATAACCTCAAAGGTGCACGCACACCATTTACAGGTATATTTGCGTATTCAGTGAAAATACAAAATATATATTATATTCGATCAAGACGTAACTATTGACAACCCTAAGACCAAGTACGTAATGCAACACCTGTTTACATACAAGGTGTAAAAAAAAATGTCACATTTTGAGATAATAATATGGAAGTATGTACTAAAACTGAACAATTTAAGTAAACGGTTCTATACAAAACGTATAACAGAAACACAAGAGGTGCTTCTGTACATTTTTATTTCTGCAACACCTTTTTGTTACAACTTGTATAAACGTACGACAATATAAATGTAATCAGTAGTTACATGACAATAAGGTGCATTATCTGTTGCATCATCTTCTTCATTTCCGCAAATGAAGTGTAGGTAGGTAGGTATTCGGTCAAGACTCAAGACAAGAGTGTTTACGTAGGTACTTATTGTAAGTTTTACGTAGGTACCTATTGTAAATACGTATAATACACGTATTTCAAATTTTTATATTTACATGTAAAACCGCTGGAAATAAGTTTTGTAATTGAATTATGGGGGCAAAAAATAATTTTAACGAAAACTGAAAGCGATTAATATCATTGCCCACAATAAAACACTTTCGATAAAAAAATTGCAAACTACCTACAATAAGTGATCAAAATCGCGTTCTATAAAATGTATAAGCTTTTACTGTTCTTCAATTTTGTTTTACTAATATGCTTACACATCTAAAACCCTTAGGGCGCCGCTGCGCAAACGTGTGTCTTGATTATTGAATGATGAATATTCTATTTTCATACGTCTTCAAACGTTATAAAGATATTCGGAAAAATATAACCTCAACTTCGTAATAACAAACGTTGGCGCAAATGAACTTCGCGGCATCCCCATAAAGCATTAAAAAAACTGGAGAATAATGGTTTGTAAATTCATAGGAAAACATGTACCTGGCAACGGCACACGACGTCCGAGTTGACAGCCAGCATATCCACAACTTTACCTTTACCTTCGTCGCCCCATTGTGAACCCAAAACAACAGTCGTTTTATGCTTAATTAAATTGAATTTTTTACACGGACACACTTGACGCTCGCCGGTTACATCGGCTGGCTGGGAGTTTGCTAACGAAGCCATTAATTTAATGCAAACCGCAGATTTAAAAATAATATTGCAGCAAACTTTGAAAATGTACAAAAAGAGCGTTTATTGCGCGCGCACATTTTCTAACATGCCACCAATCCCTATTTGAATAGAACCCAAAGAGGACCCAACACGTAATAACAAAACCAAAAAGTATTTTTCAAAATACGTTAAAATTGCACTAGCAAGTTTAATTTTTCCCGAAAAACTTTTTTCATGTATCTATCATGGAACGCTTTCAAATTTTGAATTTATCGCACAGGTACTCAATTGAAGCTTCAGTAGTGCATTATTTCTCCTTATTCAAATTACATAATACAGTGTATTCAGTTTACGCAATACTTTGAAGCGTCAGTGGAGGCACACAGCGTCCGTCTTGGCGAGCACATCGCGCTTTACAAAAACAAAGTAATCACATAATCACATGTTTTCAAACACGAATTGGCGTCCCGCCAAAAGTAAAAGCTTTTTACTAACGTCGTTCTTGATTCTTGTGTCATTAAGACGATTGAATTATGACCTTGAAATTTATAACAATTCCATAAAATATGTTAAAATTACTACGCGGCCAAGGAAAATATAACCTCAACTTCGTAATAATGTGAATTATTAATTCATGTGACCGCTGATGTGGTTGCCTCTAATTTATTATTATTAAAATATGTAGAATAATAGAAGATTTATGTGAGAATAACAGGGAAATTAGCGGAAAATATTACCTGACAGCGGCACACGATGTCTGTTTCGCTAGCCAACATATCTACGACTTTTCCTTTTCCTTCGTCTCCCCATTGAGCACCCAAAACAACAGTCACTGTAGGTTTATCCATCTTGTATTTTTTACACGGACATTGTATCTCCCCGTTTACCTCGGTTTGCGAGGAATTAGTTGCCAAAGACATTTATGTTAGCGCAAACTTGATGTAGTTCTAAAAAGGGCGACACAGGCGCGCGCACGGTCCGCTCGCTACCAAAAAGTCGTACGGGTTACCGTGCTCAATAATGTAATCTCCGTAAAAACTGCACCGTTAGGTTTTATTTTTCCTGAAATAAAATTTGTGTCATGAAACGTATTGGATTCCATGACGATGTCATTCGACATTATTGATAACATTATTTTTATTAATGTTTAAAAATAAATAACTCTTATTACACGGTATTACATTTTTCTGACCGGCTCAAGCCAATTCTGCAAGCCAAGTCAGTGTGGTCATTCACAGAACTCTATGAATGACAGACGCCTACAATTAGCACCAGATAATAGTTAGAGTATAGTTTTGCCATAATATTTTTAGAATGCAAAAAATTTTCTTTTTGCAGCTTTTAAATTAGAAAAAATGCTCTCCTACTAATGTGTAGTAGCAGTAAGCTTCTTGTGAAAGAGTTCATCCAGGGAAGTACTGCTACCTTACCTATTTCAGCCGTCAAGTAGTAATGTGAGCATTATTACGTTCCGATTTGAAAGGATAAGGGTGCCGGTGAAATTACAGGTACATGGAAATTGTCAACTTATGTCTCAGGGTAACAAGCGCATTGGCTGTACCCCTAAGATTTTTGCTAGTTAAAATTCTGAGTAGTACTAGAACTGTTACGGATAGGCGTTTTGCTTGCTATCAGGCGCACGACTTGTTCGTTCCGTCACTTTCGTTTTATAGAAAAATGGAATTGCCTTTTCATACAGAAAATGTTTTAAAAAAATATCCAGAAGTGTATTTATAACACTTCTGCCAGATTTCTGAAACCTCTCTTATTTCGGAAAGTAAATTTACAAGACTCAGAACTCTTTTTCAGACGCTTCACGGAGTGAATTGTTTTATTTGTTTATTAGATTTGCCATGGTCTATGTATGTTACTTACTGTATCTTATCACACTTTACTAACTTTTTTTGTACATAATCACATTAATTACAGAAAAAATGTTAAACGTTAAAACCTTAGTCAGGTTAATACAGAGGGCGGCTAAGGAACTTGAATCTATGACTTCAATAAAGTGGAGATGGTTTGTTCGGTTGAACGCGTTCTGGCATTATCGTGGTGAAGTAACGGTTGACTATCCGTGGCTGTCTGTTTGCGAGTCTTGTCATCATATTTTTTATAATAGTGATCAGCCTGTCATAGTTGTAGAAGACTTATGAAAGCTATGGGGAGTAAATAGGCAACTGAACCACTAAATCGGCACCAACAAATTTTTAGGCTTGTCAGGGGTCAACACGACGGCGATGAATAACGTGGGACCAAGGTCAAGGAGGGTACTTGATCGTTTGTGGTTATCAAAATTATTGTATTTTTCATCACAAATAGTGAAAATAACATGGCTTCAAACTCCTTTTTGTCAATTTATTCACACATTGCTAATTTCAATGTGCGTTGCAAGTTATGGTTCAAACAGTACTTGTGGTATCTATTTTCTTAGTTCTTTTATCTTGCCGATTTGGCACTAATAGGTCAGTTTTTGGTATATACACACATCAAACAATATTGCTAATTTCTGTGTAGATTGCAATGAAGTGCCTTCGGTAATTGCATGCGCTCTATCACGCCGTTAATTATTCCAATCGTTAACTCTACATTATCTTCACATCAGACCTCATATTAAAAAAAATAAACGAATATTAGCAGTTTTATAAACTAAATATTGCTTTAAGCAATATGTAAAGCAATATTTAGTTCATACAGCACTACGACTTTAATAAAAATTTAAATTTTTAGTGGCTAGAACTTTACAACGGCAATATCATGCAGTAACTCCTAATATTTATACAAAGACGTGATTATTATTTATAAAAAGCAAATTTTTTTTTATCATATCCAATATGGAAAAAGTAACAAACGATATACAAGCTTTTTTTTATAGCTATTTAAAACAAAATGAAAAATTATTCTAAGTGAATATGATTTACCTTATTTTGAGGAATTACTCGAATGTAAGCAACACTAAATGATTTTAATTCCGATACACGCTGCACTGCCCAAACCATTTATCAACCTTTTTGTTTTTGTCACTTTGTAAGTATTTCTAAACGAATACAAAGCTGTCACTGTCAACATGACAAAGAAATTGATTGTCATTTTGCGATAAGACGGTTGTTCGGTCGGTCGATTGCTGCCGTCCGTATTTTAAGTTAGAATTTAAATTAAATAATCGTGTTATTTATTAAATACGAATGGTAGTGCTACATTTCATATAAACAAAGTACAGGTAGGAGAAATAGTATCGTAATGCGATTGTTTTTTTTTATTTTGTGTTGTGTGTTTAGTGTCGCAAGTGGCGGCGATAATGAGGGTGAGATTGAGAGCTACAGAAAGAAGTTACTCGACCAGTTGACTAGGACACGTACGGTGCTACGAGTGGGGTACGATTTGGTAACAAGACAAATCGCTACTGATGTATATATGTTTAGAAACTACCGCTCAGTATCTGTCATCTTCTACCCCATTTCGCGGGGTGTAAAGGACGCCTGCTTCACATTTCAGTCTGAAGAGATTCATTTGAACAATATCGGTAGGTTTTTAACACTGCATGTGAATTTTTCTTATTTATTAACTTAGTTGTGCATGTTTTTTTAGTGTTATTTTAATTTATTTATCAATTATCAATTTTTTAATAAGCAATCATATCTTTCCTTACATTTATATCATAAATTAATTACTTGATAAGATTTTCTCTACATAGTTATGCATAAATTATCATCATCAACAAAAATATAGTTCTATGAGTAGCTACATAACACACTATAAAAAAAAAATTTTTTGTTTTGGAATTAATTGTACTTCTAGCTTATTTACCTCTTACCTCTATATTTATCAGATAGATAAGAAATATTATCTGATAGAAGCTGCAAATGCTTACATAGATAAATTGTTAATAATTGATTTTTAGGTAAGTTCCCACAATTGGAATTATTTAATATTTTCATAAGCTGATTCAGTAGCAGTAGAGCTCCTTGTGAAAGAGTTCGTCCAGAGAAGTACCGCCACCTTATCTATTTCTGGCGTCAAGCATAATGTCAGCATTACTGTGTTCCTGTTTTAAAGGGTTAAGGGTGCTGGTGAAATTACATGCACAAGGGACTTGTCAACTTATGCCTCAGGGTGACGGGCGCAGTAAGAGGTGCCCGCAGTATTGACGCTTTAGTCATCTTGAGTGACTATGTCAGCCTTATGGGAGGAATACTGAGTTCCCTACTAAAGGGACATGTTCAAGAACTTGTACAAGTTTAGAGTGCCAATACATACAGGCTCTCTGAGCCAACAATTAATTTGTTCAATGCATAAACTTACATTACCTCTCAGGATTACGTTACAGTCACGTTCCACCAATACATGATACAGATCCTCTATTTTATTGCAAGTACTGCGCAATGGGGATGGTTTAAAACCCATCATATGAAAGAATTTATTAGTTGGAATGTAATGAAAACGGGAGCTCCTCATCCAGTGCCCACAATGCAAACCGTGAAACCACAGACACCATCAAAATATATTTTCTCATATTACGCCATTAGTTACCTTCTTACATTGTTTTAGGTTCCTGTAGTCCCCAAGAAGTAATAATACACTTAAAACATGGTGCATACGCAGCTGTCAACCCAGATGGGTATGATTTCCCAAAGTATTTCGTAGATCCAGCACGTAGAGGGAAAATACATACAATTGAAATAAAATCAGATGGAAGGAATACTACTTATTCTGTGAAAAACCCTAAACCTGGGAATTGGTACGCATTAGTGTATATTAAATGGGAAGATCCTAGAACGCAGAACATCGGACAGCAAGGTATGTGTTTTTTAATTTTATTGTGACAAATCACAAATGAGGCTGTCAGCGCAAAAGTGGTGTAACCCCATGGAATACTATAGAAGTCCAAGTCAAATAATAATTTATTCCACTTGAAAATGTAAATATTTAACCTACGCTCGTTCAGTGGACTGACTTTCCTAAGAAGAATGTGCAAATAAACTTAAATGCTATAGTTAACAAGCAAGTGAATAATTTATGATAACGGTAAGTATTGAAATTATATATTCAAATGGAAATACCATAGATATGCTCGCAAAGGTTTTAAAATTATTCATTGCTGTCAGGGAGTTACAGCTCCAGCCAGTTGCCAACAGCTATGGAATACACTTTGTCACAATCATATTTTTTTGGAATCTAGATTCATTTCGTCTTTCCATACATATATACTGCCCCGCTAAGCCGAAAGGCGCTATCTCTGAGATACGCCTTTTTAGTTTTTTTTATACCATATAATAGCTATAATAATTTCGCATCTAATGGTGTAATAGAAATAGCGCTATCGAACTTAAAACATTTAAAAAACCACTAAGAAGTATTTTCATATCTCAATTTTTGAAACCTTTCTTTATAATCAAAATAGCGGTATCTCACAAAATAGGTATAATGGTACAATTTATGGATAATTTAGGTATGTCAATAAATCTATTAGTCAAAAATACGCATAAATAAGTTCTAACATCTTCAAAAAGATTTATTTTTGAAGGTGCGAAAATACAATTTACAAAAAGTCGATTTTCTCAAAACTTACTCCGATTGAGTAGTCTTCAATTTTGTAATAAATGACTTATCAATTAAAATACTTTTGCTGTAAGTTGACACATATGACCAATATATCAAAGGGTGTGGAGAACTTTGGCCTAAACCCTCGTCTGAGAGGAAACCCAACCAATATATAACTATTACAATTTTTTATTCATGAAAATAGCATACAAATATATAACAATTATGTACTTTATTGTCGCCTTAAGTAATATTAATGAAAAAAAAAGTGAGTTATACCACCTTTGCGCTGATAGCCTCAAATATTTGTTGTATATGGTTAACAGTAGGTGTTTTTTATTTTATAACGTCAAGTGACGGAACGAACGAGTCGTGCGCCTGATGGTAAGCTACACGTCTGTCCATAACAGTTACAGTGCCACTCAGAGCTTTAAATTGCAAAGATCTGAGAGGCACTACCACTGTGCCCCGTCACCCTGAGATTTAAGTTGACAAGTCCCATGTGCCTGTAATTTCACCAGTGTAAACACACAGGGAGTTTTAATGAGATGCTTATGTTGGTTAGTACTATAAAGATGAAATATAGTGGATTTTCCTGGTGATTGGCACATTCATCCGCTTTTGATGGACCTTCATTGGGTAGCTTGTTTTAAAAATGAATTACTAACATTGTAGTACACAAGTCCTGTGTACATAATATATAAAATAGCTACTCTGTGCATCTCTACAAAATCAACTTCCTTCTCTCCACAGTAAAATACTCAACATAGCCCCGCACTAGGAAAACCTTACGTTGCGGATGCACACACACACACATCGACAACCATAAAGTTACACCCTAACTCACGAGAGAAATAAATGTAGGCCATACAAATATTTCTCCCGATCCAGGAATCGAACCTGGGACCTCTGTGTGGCAGTCCGGCATGGTAACCGCTCGAACGTAGTTTGTTTGGGTGTTTGTGAAAATGAAATCACCTAAGTCTCTCTAGGTTTTTAACATCTGATAATAAAGTAATTATTTTGTTTTTTTTTGGGAATTTTTCACATAAGTATTGGATTTAGCAGGTACTGTCTCAGTGTTCTCAAATTGTGTCTAAATAGTAAATAATAAGCAAAACACATGTTATCTAAATAAAGAACAAATAAACTTCATGCCAAACATAATTAAATATGCTGTGTGCCTACTGCCTACTATTGTATGTGAAAAGCGTAATACCGCACGCACGCCATTATTTAAAGTATTATTTTCGTTGGCCACTATTGTATGTATCATTCTTTTTTGTTTCAACAACAATAAATCACGTTTTACATTTAATCCTATAAACGGAATAAAATTGCTAATGTAGGTACTTTTTCAACTTATCATTTTGTAGTTTCCGAAGGGTCATTGATCCCACTTGCCCATGTCATTGAACTTTCGGCATACAGTTCTCTAAAATTTGTTTGGGAAAACAGTAATAATAAAATATCGTTTATTTCTCAACAAGTATTAAAACTAGGTACTTACTAAGAAAGCTGGAGCCTAAAGTAAACCAAAAGATTTGTATTTTAGGTCTCCAGACCTCCCAACTCAGATTATATTTACATCATTATGTCGTCATCATTATCATTCTTGAGTTGGTACTAAGAACCTATGCAGAGAAGATGCGAGTGAGCAGTGTAGTGTTTTTGTTTTGTGCTCTGAACTCAACTTCCTTTAACAATTATTCCTCTTTAGGACGGCACTCTTTTATGTCATATATGTATACTAAGCCATTATATTATTCTTTTGTTTTCTGGTTTTAATCAGCATGTATGTAATATATACCAGGCATGAGTGTAATTGGGGTATGCAATTAGTTGAACGGATCTGTCTCTTATAGTCTGTCTTTTTTAAGATGGAGCAAAATGGTATTTCCAGAGTTACAAAAGGTGGATTTTTTTTATTTGAATAGGATTTTTAGTAGCAGTAGAGCATCTTGTGAAAGAGCTCGTCCAGGGAAGTACTGCTACTTTACCTATTTCTACCGCCAAGCAGTAATATAGTCACGTTACTGTGTTACGGTTATGAAGGGTAAGGGTGCTGTAAAATTACAGGCGCATTCGTCAACTTATGTCTGAAGGTGACGGGCGCAGTGGCGGTGCCCCCAGATCTATATGATTTAAAGCTTTGAGTAACACTGCAACTGTTATGGGCAGGCGTGTGGCTTACCACCAGGCGCACGACTTGTTCGTCCCGTCAGTTGGTATTATAAAAAAAGGACCACCACTGGGGTAACCCTTTCTAACAAAAAAGGAGTCGTTTCGTCGAAATTGGTTTACAAATGGCGGAAGTAATCGAATATATAAAAAAATACAGACGAATTGAAAACCTCGTTCTTTTTTGAAGTCGGTGAAAAAGAGACGAGCTATTTACTGATAATAGAAACAAACTATTGCTCTAGTTATTTTGTAAGTACGATTATGACAACGATCAGTCATGTCTCTGACGCGATAAACTTATACAGGCAGTTAGTTAATTTACACTTGTCGGTCCACGGCCAACTTTTTTATATATCGCACTTTTAATACGATAGTGTATTAACTCAAAAAATGTATTTATTCACAATCGATGAAAATCGATTTACTCACTTCCCGTGAAAGGTTATTCAAATTTGTGTATAGGTTAAAGTTTATTACAGACATCTAAACAATTCAAAAGTCTAATTATTTGTACTAACCAAATATAAAAATAAGCAGGAAAAAAAAATCATATTTTTGTCCACAACTAGCTTACAAAAAGTTTGTCTAATCTTGAGGTAAGTATATACATATATTTTAATTATGTCTCACAATGTTCTATTATCGATTTTATTGACGTGTAAACAATCAAATTTTACGTTCAGCAGTGGTAGGTATAAACTTAAAATTTACATATTTTGAGTTGAAACACTATTGTGATAGCAGTGCAATATCATAGCTCGTAACTGCCTGGTAACAAATGGTTAGAACAATTTAAGTACACCCACTGAATAACTTCAGTGGTAAGTGTTGCTTTGTGACATCAGCACTTTAATGTATGTTTTTTTAATGTAGGTATTTGATTTTGTTAAGGACACTATGCACTTTGGTCATTGCAATAATGGCTAAATCTCTATTTAGGGATTTGATAGGTTATTGTGTTTGGTTACGAGTGGTCTATCTTGACGTCAAGCATCTTGCAGTAGTACTTAACATTATTCAGGTTTGTACTTAACATAATTATTGCTATGGTTGTATAGAAGAAATACTTTGTACAATATATAAATAGTGTAGAACGAAGAACCGAAATACCATAAATAGTGTGGAACGATTCGCATCGCTTTCCTAGAATAGTGGCCATACAACCTCAAATAATTTTAATTCTAGCTTAAGTAATATTGACTCTTAAAACTCACAATTATCCAGATAATGCAAAATTTTGTTGTGCCGATCTTGTCATTGGTTAAAAGTAATATTATATGATATAACATTGGGACAACCCAACATTTTGGTTATACAGGAAGGGCACTATAATCTTCAGTCAAATGTTAGAAGGTCCTTTTTAACGTCGGGAAATCCTCATGGATACCCTCCGTCCGGAGAGACGAGGGTTATGTCGGACTCGACCGACTAAAACCTAACATGTGAACTCACCAGGGACCGCCGTCTCTGACACCTTGGGAGTCTACTACGAGGCTCCCTCTACGCTCCTACCAAGCCTCGAGGACCTGCCTCCTAATGTCACCGCATCCGATGCCCGGAGGCCCTCGTTATGGAGGCATGCGGCGGACATGTGCCTGCCGCTTGCACCCAATCCTCCTGCGATGGATCGGATGAGAGAACACATCGTCTTCCCTCGTCTCTCCGCCGTTTCCTTCGCTCTTACCAGCTCCGCGCAAAAGGCAGAAACTGCTTTCCACACTGTCGCTGTCGATCACGGAGATCATGCTGGATCTTACGTCTTCTCATGCTGGACGTACAGCCAGTATATGCTTCGCGTAGACCTACCTCAACAGTCGTGTTTTAGGTGGAAGTACAAGCGCACCAAAGAAACTTGAGCCACCTCTTTAGTTTCCTCCAAGTAAATTCATCTCGATTCCACGACGCGACGACAATCTCACTCGTGCAGGTTGCGGTTACAGACGGAAAGGTGTCGTTGGTAGTTTGTGAGGAAATATTCCCACACAAGAACTTATCAGTTAGTAGTAGATCCTGCCCCCAGATCAGCCCGTTGACATGACGTCAGATCAAAAGGCTGGTAAGTAAAAGGTAGC